GTGATGAAAGGGTCGCATGCAACCCATACAGCGAGCTTAGCTCAAGTATCATCGTCCTTGTATATAGGCGTCCTTCGGTTCACCATAATGTCCGGGGCACGATCCGCGGTGGATGTGCGTACGTTTCAATAAATGACAAATCATATATAAATACAACTTGAACGTTACTCCCCGCGGTATACTTCGATCGGCCGGGCGTGGGATCATCAGGGAGAAGCAGACAACGACCTTTTGCCACGCGGAGGCATTAGCTGCATCATTTTCGGCAGGTTTCAGCCTTATATTAACACTACGACTGTTCGGTTACTTAAGGAAATGATAAGACGAGATAAAAACTGCAAGATAGTCAGCCCGGAGTGTCGTTGTATCTGCTCTCCTTACGTCCGCCAGGTCTCTCGGTGGGTCCGTCTGGATTCAGTGCATCGTACCTACGTTCGCTCGTAGTTCGTTCGTGGTGCAAATTTAGACCGACGGACAATCACTTTTACGAGGTACCAATTTCCACCGTTACGAAATCGTTGCATATCGGGGTACCATGTTTCATGTTGCGGTGTCGACCTAGGTTTTCGCCGACGATTGGCAGCAGAACCTAGCGCGGCGGCATGCACAAGTAAGGGTTGCGTTCCCCGAGATCCCCGACTTGTCCGACGAACAACGCGAGTGGATGGGGTCACGGGGGCAGCCGAGGGTAGATGGCGTGCATACGGAATCAGACTCACAGCGTGCCACGTATGGGGACGGGCAGACACGCATGCCGTGGGAAGCACCCGTACGGGACGCCGGGGAGAACGGCGAACATTTCGTTCCAGGGGGACTAAACCATAACTGGGAATTTTGGGATAAAGTCATCCTACGTGATCACCCTCAGCGAGACCAACTTCTTTCTTTCCTCCGACATGGGGTCAGTGTATTCGATTTCCTTCACGACGAGTACCGAGGCAAGTCTCGTAAGGAACCGTATCGTGCGGAGGCGTTTCCGGGGGCCGTATTCCCTAACCATATCCCACAAGAGCATGCCGAATTTGTGCGACTCGAAGTACAAGCACTGGCTAAGCGGGGATGTTTGGCGCGATGGAGAGAAGTAAAAGGACCGGGGGGGCCGGATAGACCGCGGATTATCCTGTCTATCTCAGTGGAACCGACCAAACCGCGCATGATTATCAACGGTATCCCTCTTAACAAGTGCTGCAAGCATGTGCCGTTTACGATGGACACGGTTTCAAGAGTAGCCCTCGTGGCGGACGAAGGGGTTTTCATGGGAAGCTTGGATGACCGCGCGGGTTTCCACAACCTCAGCCTGCAGCCAGAAAGCTGGCCGTTGTTTGGCGTGCACTACGACGGCGTCGACTACGTTTGTACCACACTGCCGTTTGGGTGGAACGAGAGTCCGTTTTGTTACCATTCTCTGAGCGAAGCGAAAGCGGCGTATATGCGTTCCAAGGGTATTCCCGTGCTGGCATACATCGATGATGCGTGGTACGCGAATTTCGTGGCTACCTTTGGGGAGTCGGACAGAGTGCAATGGCTATCAACGGCCGAAGCCCTTCATCAAGGTATCCTCGTATCGTATCGATGTGGATATTTCTTGTCCATCAAGAAATGTGATCTCAACCCGTCCCAACAGCAGCGATATCTGGGGATAATATGCGACTCACGTACCGCATCATTCCGCA